CAATTTTATGGTTTAGCCATTTCCTTTTTAAAAAAATTTCCCCCATCTTTTATAAAATTGAGAAGTGTGGTACACATTCAGGAAAGTAAACAAAAAATTGCCATTTAAAAATAATGCCATTTTCATTGCCTTTAAAAAATTATTGCTACGCCCTCATGTAAAACCACCAGGGCTAAAAACACAACATTCCTAGTGTGCCTGAGCCCTTTGCCTACCCTTTCTTGATGTCTCTTCCCCTTACAGTTTCGTGGTAGTCATTCCTTTGCTTTTAGTAAGTTTTACCATTTAAGCCTAAAGGAAATGTATATGCAATTCTAAGAAATTATGCTCTTATTTCTCGATTTTCCAGGATGAAGGAGTGGCCAGAACTATCTGAAGAGTATATAAATGGAATCCACACATTCTATATTTATATGTTTGCTTTATTCTCTGAATAGTGTACTTTTAAAATTCTTTCCTGTTAAAGTAGAAGGGAGACTAGTAGATAAGAAGGGGAGGGGGAAAGGAGAGAAGGGGATTGTCTTTTGGTTACTTTTCTCTCATTGCCGAGACAAAGTACCTGACACCCAGGAAGGAAAGGTTTATTTAGCTCACAGTCTGTGGTGTTTCAGTCCACACTTGGCTGGCTCCGTGGCAGAGTGGCATATGGCAGAAGGCAGTCATTCGTGGTGATGGTAGGTAGCAAAACCAACAAGAGCAAAATGGAGGAGTGGTGGCAAGCAGCCTCTTCCTCTCCTTACATATGCAAAATATCCACCCTCAGGCAGTGCAGCACTCACACCCATAATCCTAGAAGCCTGTCCCATGACTGCAGGAGGATTTGGGGGGAAATGCAGATACAAACCATAACAGGCATAAGGGAGGATAATGGGGATGGATAAGGTACAAATATATTATGCGCATGTATGAAAAGGTCACAGTTTAAAAATCACATTGTGTATAATGAATGTACATTAGTAAAACATATTTCAGTAATGTAACATAATGCTATAGTTATATAGTGTTCATTGTTCTGCAGTATTCTGCTGTCTGAATACAATGAAATCATGGCTTTAATTTGCATTTACCTGACTTTTAATGAGGCGATAGACCTTTTCATTTTTTAAAGTATATGATCTGTTTGATATTTTTATCTGTTTGATATTATAGATATTCTTTAGTCTATTTGAGTCTTATTTATGTGTATTATAAACATCTTTTAATATATAGCTTGCCTTATAATCTCTTAATGATAACTTTTGATGAACAGAACTCCTAAATTTATATATTTTTGAGGCAGGGTCTTTCTATGTAGTATTGGCCAGCTCTGAACTCACTATGTAGCCCAGGCTGGCCTTGAACTCACAGTGATCCTCCTGCCTCAGTCTCCCAAGTGCTGTGATTACAGACATGTGCCACCACGCCTGGCCTTAATTTTAATATTGCCAATTTTTATCAAAATTTTCCTTTACGCTTAATGTTCTTGTGTTTTAAGAAAGCTTTTCTCAGAGTCCAAAAGATAGTTTCCTTTTTCCATGTAGCCTGAAATTATGTAATCATTCTTATAACCGCAAACCAATTCAATCTTTAAAACATCTCCACTTGCCAGTCTTGCTAGTAAAGCACATCTTTACTGTTTTAAAGTTTATTGATTTTTAACCTAAATTGAAGTGTTTTATTCATACTTAATGTCTTCATGTTGGCCTTAGCCATTGTTTTAGCCTACTTAGAATCTTTGTTCCGATACCCAAAACCTAGTTTTACTTGCTAACTTGTTAATGCCTTCAGATTTGATAACTCTTTAACTTTATCTAGTCATTTTTAAAGGCGGTAACTGCATCAGATCCCTGTGGTAGGTCAGGGACCATCAGGGACATCAAACTGCCCTTTTCTTTTCTTTCTTTCTTTCTTTTCTTTTTTTTTTTTTTTGTATCTTTTTACACTATGTATTTCAGGCTGGCCTTGAATTCACTCTATAGCCTTGGTTGACATGGGATTCGTGGTGATCCTTCTGCCTCAGCACCACCCTGCCCAAGAGCTGAGATTATAGGTGTGCACCGCCACACCCAACTCAACCTCTTCTTCTTTGTGACTCTCTCCCCAGTTTTCTATGAATATACCTAATTACCATGACACTCTCTCAGCCTACCCTTTTCATCTTGTCTAGGAGGCTGTCATGAGATCCTTTCCCTTGTGGAAATCCACAGACATTATGTATATTGTGTCTGCTCATAACCTAGTGCTCTTTCTGAAAGGAAAATTGGATAAAGTTTCATTTGTTCTGTGTTCAAAGAGATGGTGAGATGATATTGGCCTCCCCTCCTCCCAGCTTTCTAAACTGTTCTCCTAGAACCTGACAGTGTAACATTGGACACACTAATTTGTGGTTTAGGAAAACCCCGATCTCTCTGCAGCATGGCACAGGCTCATGCTTTTCTTACCACAAGTCGTAGTCTCAGACTGTTTTGAGATTGCTTTAGGCTTTGCACCAAAACTTCTGACTCATCCCTTAAGACAAATGCTTGTGATGAGTTAGAATTTGGCACAGAGCGTAGATTGTTAGAAACAAGGCTGGTGGAGCTAATTAGCATTTTGGTAGTGTTCCAGGGCCTTGGTTGAGATCGGGAATGTTTTTTTTAGTGCATATTAATTTTACAGACCACTGGGTTGCATTCTGGCATATTCAGACATACATAGAATATTCTTTAACCGTTCTCCCTCCCTCTTCCCCAAAATCATCTTTCCCCTTCCCTCCCCCTCCCCCAGTCTGCTTCCTTTTCTCTCATAGTCTCTTGTGATGAGGAAGTTTTAAATCTAAGCCTGTATACAAAGGATCAGTGGATTCTGGGTCCTGTGAGGCCAACAGTATGTAGACTAGATGGAAAGTCAGGATTCAGGGAACTTCAAAGGCAAACTGTTTGAATAACTGAATGGCTTGGTTTGGTTCCTCTGAGACTGGGCCTGGGAACAGCAGGCATCAGTGGCTGCACGAGGCAGTTTCTGAGCATGAGTGTAATGAGAACCAGTAAGCCACCCAAGCATGGAGGAAAGCAGGAGGAAAAATTAGCAAGGCTTTATATATATATATATATATATATATATAATATTATATATAAATATTCTATATTATATATAAATATAGAATATATTACATGTAAATATTATATATTACATATAAATATTATATGATATATAATATATGTTAGGAAGACTTATATATATATATATATATATAAAGATTATGTATCCTTAAAGCATGAAAAATAAAGGAAAGCATCCTTAGACTTCCTTGTCCTTGTTTATGGGTTAGTAGTATTTTTACTATAAATTGCATATGGAAGGCAGTGTGTGGTTGGGCCTCTCCTAAGGGTCTCAGTCCTCTTCCAACTGGGTCCCATAACTAATAATAGTTTGTCCTAGGTTTTGCTCCCCACAGCTCTAGTTTTCTGCCACAGCACCTCCTGTTTGGATGAGGATACTTGGGGAACTGGGGCTTCAGCTGCAAAACTGCCATTGCCTCTGGGTCCTATCTCCCTGTTCTGCCTCTGTCTCACTAGGCTGGGAGTTCAGAAATGTCCCGCTGGGATGCACAGCTTTCTGTCATGTTTGCCAATTTCCTTCAGCCCCAGGACCTATAGTTACTTACTGTCACGGCTGTTATGTCTGTCAAATCAGGACTTCCTTCTCTTGCAGGGGTCTATGGGACTGTGCTGTGTGCTTATGAACAAAATGAGCATCTGGTTAGGGCAACTAATTTTATTAATAACTCAATGTGAGTTTCATACAGCTAATTGTTTTAATTGTAGCAATGATAACTATGCTCAGAAATTAATAGCTAAATTTTTAGTTCTACTGGAGGGTTGGAGTCACAGGGACTTTGGGAGATTCATAAAATGATATTTTACTAATGAAAAACTGAAATTGAGAAAGGAAAACTGATTTATATACCTTTCTTCTTCCTACAAGAATGTCAATATGAATTTTTTTAAAATATTCAAGCCATCATGATTTCTAGCCCTTTGGCTGGTCTCTCAAAGACCTATAGTATGGAATGAAAGGTTTGGGTACTGGAGAAAAGCCTAGGAGTGAAGAAATTTTTGTTCTGGTTCTAGTTCTACTGATGACAAATGCTGAGGTTGTCTGGGGTCACTTAACTTTCCTGGGTCTTATCGTTGACACGAAGATTGACCTTGGTGGCACAAAGGTCTCTGCTCCCCTCATGCTCTGTGAGGCTGCATCTGTTGGTGTTAGAGACCCTTCCTAGTTTAAACTGAGGTCCAGGTTGCCCTGGGACCTGGGGCTGTCACTTGCATCTTCCAGAATGACATGCAACGTGCTCAGAGATAGGAATCTCTGCTTCAGTAGTTTAGAGACAGAAAATGGGCAAAGAGGTGGTGGTTTATGGCATGATTCACACCTATTTAGGTACAAATTCTTCCCATATTTAAGCACATGCAAAGATTTATTTATGAAAATGCTGTATTTTAAAATTTGAATAGTATTTTAAAATTTGAATAGTGGCACATGCCTGTAATCCTAGCGTTTGGGAAGGTGAGGCAGGAAGGTGCCATGAGTTCGAGGCCAACTTAGGCCACATAGTTTGTTCTAGGGCAACCTGAACTACAGAGTGAGACCCTGTTCCAAACAAAACAAAACAAGACAAAAAAAAATTTGAGATACACTGTTATTAGTTCTTGAGAAGGAAGAGAGCTTTGAGATGTGAAGAGGGAACATGGAAAGATACGATGTGCTGTCTGCATTTCAGCTCAGAATGGTTTTTGTCTCACAGGTGGAAGTCAACTTCAGTGATGTCAAGATCTACAACCTCACAGGGCTGCAGGCTTCTACTGAATATGTCATTGCTTTGTGCTGTAAAACCTACTCGTCAAGAATCTGGAGTGACTGGAGCCAGGAGAAGAGGGGAATTACAGAGGAGGAAGGCAAGCTGCTCCCTGCAACTCCTTGGCTGCTTGCTGTGGGGTGGGGCTGCCTTCACCTGGACCTCATGGGTTTTTCCATGCTCCAAACTTGGGAATCATGAAATCTTGCAATCCTGGGGCCTGGAGAATCTGCATGTTGCCTCTCCACAGGCTTTCGTGGTGCCCACTGACACCTACAAGGGAGCTGTGTTCCTCCCATTGGTGTTTGTAGCAGCTTTGCCCCAGAGTAAAGGGTCTTCTCTTTAATACTCTTCTGAGGTTTTTCCTCTCCACATGAAATGGCAGCATATCATTAAAAGGAATGTTAAGTTCAAGGTATATGTTGCAAACCCCGAAACTACTACTAAAGCTCAGCAACACAAGTGCCTGCCTGGCAAAGTGCAAGGTCCTGAGTTCAACTCCTGGTACCTACCAAAAAAAAAAAAAAAAAACAAACCGAAAAAAAAAAAAAAAAACATACAACTAATGAAAGAAAGAAAAGGTCCACATATTTAATGATAACAAGGGAAGGAAAGAGACAGAGACTACACATAATCAAGTACCATACTGGTCTCAGGTAACAGCTGGGGTCATGTTCTGTGCTCCTGGTCAAACAATTTATTGCTCTGGATTCTGCTTGATTTCCCAGAAGACCAAGTTCATATTAACGGATGTTTTGCATGTTTATCCTTATTGTCAGATTCTAGAATCAATCTGGTGCTTTCTGAATTTGGTATTCACCACTGGAGATGTTGTTGCTTAGCTTGATAGGAAATTACCAATGGTTATTATACTGCATATTGTTATCTTCAAAGTAGTTGCTCAGATTACCACATACAGGCTTGGTTTGAAATTGCCCTTGGCAGACATAGTTTCAGAACAGGGCTTTAGGCAGCACATGGGGAATTGGGCCACACAGCCTGTGAGACCCTCCTCACCCTGAGAGTCTTCTGTGCCATGGTGTAGTCATGTGAGGAAAGGTCACAGAAAATCCAAAATCATTATGTGCTGAAGTGCTTAGGATTATGCCTGACATATGTAAGGGCTATATAAATTTGAAGAAATAAAAATGCATAGTAAAACACAGTTAAGACATGGATCTAATCTAAACTTTTGTACACAAAAAATGTCCCAGTGGTTATAATCTGTTGGAATGGTCAGTTAGTGCTGTTTATGTCTTAGCTGAGTCCTTTAAAAATGTTAGAAACTGCCCATGTGCTGTCATTGAGCAAACTGTCCTCTCCTCTGCTACACCTCTTTGGGGACTCTGGTGATACAGTACGACCTCAAGTGTGACTATACTTTGTCCAGCTCTTTGCCTTGTCACTACCTCTCTTCTTTTCTGGAGCTATTATGGCTCAGAGTCTGTAGCGTGGTTAGCTCTCCACTGTCCAGCTGATGTCAGCTTCCTCAATTAGTTTTTCTGTCAGAAACAAGATTTACTGTCTCACCTGATTGATTCATTCTGCGAGGCTGGGGAAGATGAGTTAGCAGAAATAGTAAAATCTGATGTACTCTGTGCCATTTGCTAGTTCAATTAAATCAACTCTTATTTACCAAAGTCACCCCAATGGGAGTGTGGCTTTTGGTTTTCTTCAGTTTTTCAAGATCTTAGAGAAAGCTGATAAAAATATACCCTAAGCTGGGTGTGCTGACACATACCTGCAATCCTAGCACTTGGCAGGCTAAAGAGGATCACTGAAAGTTCGAGGCCAGCCCAAGGCTACACTGTTCAAGGCCAGCCTGGACTACCTAGTGAGACCTGTTTCTTAAAGAAACAAAGAAAACAAAAAAGAACCACACCCTAACTCCCCTAACAAAACTCATAATCTTGTTTCCTTATTTCACAAAGAAATGCTGGTTGTGTAATACACACCACCTCAAACCTTTCTAATTATTTGAGAAGTTCTAAATTAAATATGAAGTACTACCTATTTTCTTTTGGATTTCAACATATGACTAGGGCTACTTAGTATATATATATAATATATAGTATATATATATAGTCTGTCAAATCAGGATTGACAAATCTTGTATAGTATATACAAATAGTGTGTATATATATATACACACACACAAATAGTGTATATATTATATATATATATATATATAGTAAGTAACCCTAGTCTATATGTGTGTGTGTATATATATATATATATATATATATATATATATATATATATATAATTTGATTAAGAGCCTGGCTTAATTACTTAAAAGGAAAACCTTCTTAAAAAGTAAGCTAAGCATTACTTAAATCCTGGCTTTATTACTTATGATATTTGACAGTTGCTTAATTTCTCTACGTTTCAGAGGTGGAAATTACTATATTTATTTATAGGGTTGTGGAGATTAAACAAGATAATTCAGGTAAAATGCTTAGTATAGTGATACTTGGAAAGAGTTAGCTATTATTATTATTGTTGTTTTTGGTCTTTGACAAGGTTTCCAGTATGTGTCTGATTAATGGTAGTTGTGGGAATACTTGTGTTGTTATAGAAACAGTATAGCATGAGATTGTTACTATACTGGCCCAAACAATTGACACCTCTGAATACATAGATATTTTGGCTGATTAGAAAAATATAATTTTGTGTTTTTTCAAACAAAGAATTATTTTGGTTAAATTGCAAATCCATTGTCCACTCATGGTCAAAGCAAAATTGTCAGTAATAATTTTAGAAGATTTACATGCTAGGCAGAAAGCCATTGTACTAAAAGCTGCATCTATTGGGAAGTCTATATTGCAAAGACTGGATCATATTATAGGTAATAATGGCCTCAGTTAAAGAAGAAAATGCCCAGTTAAACGAACTTGTCATTGCCATCTACTAAAACTTAATGGCTGCCCTGAGGTAAGTCTAAGAAGAACTTTATTCATATTTGTAATTGAGTGCCTAGAATGATTGATTAATATCAGTTTAATTTTGCCTGTATTTATCCTCAAAATGAGAATTCAGGATTAGATTTTAATGATTACTTTGTCTTTAAAAGTTTTTTCTTGCTGGACATGGTGGTGCATGCCTGTAATCCCAGCACTCAGGAGGCTGACGCAGGAGGATTGTTGCAAGTTTGAGACCAGCCTGGGCTACAAAGTGAGCTCAAGGCCGGCCTGAACTGCACAGGGAGACCCAGTCTCAGAAAGACAAAAAACAAAACAAAACGAAAAACAACCTTTTTTTTCTTACTCTCATTATTATCCTGACTTTGACTTTCTGCAATAGCGCCCCTCCTTCTGGGCGCTGCTTTGAAGTTCTAATGACTTTGTAGCCTTGTGCTAAGGCTGTGAGGGCAACTCTGTCTCTGTTTACGAGTAGACAGGCTGAAACCAGCCTATTGTTCCCTTTCTGAGAAAGCTGAGTACTGGCTGTTCTGTCTTCTGATTCAGGGAAGACTGTTGGGAAATCAGAAAACTTCTGGCAGAGGTTTCAAGACAACACCTTAGTGGAATTTAGATGAAGTCATAGGTAGAGTCTAAGCCGCTCCAATCATAAGTAGTTTAAAATGAAATTACAGTGGCTCTCTTTGGGAGACGTTGGTTTTAACAGCTAAACCACAGTTAGCCACACTGACTTCTGCAAAAGTAGTAAAGTTATTGACTTAACGCCCTTTGGCATAGTTTTCTGCGTTTTAAGGTTATCTTTATTGGAGCTCAGTAGATTTCATTTGAAGATACCCAGTCACCCAAAATTTTAAAAGGTCCCTGAAAGTAAGCATTTAGTACTAACATGGTTCAGATCTTTATCTTAGTGATGGGCCCATTCTTTGTGGACCTAATTATAGTGTCCCTAGCCATGTGACTTCCTCAGGAAGGGATTCAGAGAGCAGCAATTTCAGCTCCTCAGCTGAGGACCTTTCCTCTCTTCTGCAAAGCTTAGGCTGCTCCCCTCCTGGGCAGGTTTTTACAGTGCTTTGCTTTCCTCCCCTGGCTAGACCATATGAGTCATACTTTAAGCAGCATTTTGACATTGCAGGTTCATGTCAGAGCATTGAACTATAAATTGTCAGGGATCCACTCCTTGCCAAAATTTTCTTGAGACATAGTTGAGAGAAATAGTCCAGGGAACAAATGAAGTATGAATTCCTTGTTTTGTAAATTTTATTCCTGTATGGTTAGGCCACCAGAACTCTGAACTATGTGGCCTTTTTTACTGAATGTACTTGAGTCCCAATTTATGCCCTTGCATTGTATAGAAGACAATTGTGAGAAATTTACGTATGTAGTTATATTACTCAGGGCTTACCAGGCAAACAGATATAACACAAGACATACAAATGCACAAGAGATTACAAGTTTGGCGTGCAATGGTCAGCCACAGAGCTGGATGAGGAAGCGTGCAGAGGGTGTCTGCATGCTGGAGATTGAAGAGTCCAGTCCCAGGTCTGGAGCTCATTGCACTGTCCCTGCAAGTCTGTATCAAGAGGCTGATGGGTCTGCGATGGAATGCTGAAGAATATATGATGAAGGCTGGAAAGTCTACACCAGAAGGCTGAAGAGTCCCAGGCAGAAGGCAAACAGTTTGCACCAGAAGCCAGGAGATGGCCAAGCTGAACGGGAAGACTGGAGCTCCTCCAGAGAACCAGCTATCAGTCCCTCCTCATTTCCCTTTTATTGTATGCAGCCTACATACCCTGAGGGGAGGTCCTCATACCCACACCATCTCCCTGCCTTCCTCCTGCACAGGCTCAGGATGAATACAAAGTGAGGACCCTGGCCCTCTGCTGAGTCACACAGTTAACCTTCTAAATTTCTCAAGTTGACACAATGATCAACATCCTAGAGCAGGAAGGGCATGTCCTTTCCACCCCAGGATGTAGAACTGCTAAGTTATTTAGTTAAGCTTTTAGACTCCTCAAGTTGACACGATGTATCAATGATAACAGTAGCATTACTGCACTTTTGCTCACCTGAAACTATAGATATTAGTCTTTATGCTAGTCTGTATCCTTTTTGAGGGGATTCTTGTGATAAAATCCATTTATGAATTCAGCCTCCATAGCCAGAAAAGAATTCCCTATTCAGATGAATTTCTGTCTTTCCCTTTTATCAGGATATGAGAAATATACAAAAATATGATTTTTTCTTTTTTTTTACTTTTTCCTCTTGGCAAGATGAGCATTAGATTTAGAGCTCAGGAAGGGACCTGGTGAAGATTATTTCTCTGATCCTTTCTGTTTAGTCTTTACATTTATAACATTGCAAGTATGCAATTTTATCCTTTTTGGAAGTAGACATAGTGTAAATTACATATACATACATCTCCTTGTCAGTAATAATCTGTGTCATTCCCATCTTTAATGTATTATGTATTATAACTTGGAGGACATGTTATTCACATTTTCCTCCAGATTTGGGTACTACATGAGATCTGTACTTTTTTTTTTTTTTAAAAAAACCTTATATTAAGCCATCTGATGCAAGAGAAGTTTTCTTTTTAAACTTGGTTGATTCCAGTGCTTTAACCACAAAATGAAGACTGTGTTTGTCATTACGAGGTTGCCATCCTCCACTCTCCCTCCCTCCTGCTGCCTCCTGCAAGCATGTCCTTCCCAGGTGCACTTTCTAAACAGGTAGTGGCCCAGCTCCCTTCCCTATCTCTTTCTGTCTGGGTTGACGGTTCACTCTTCCTCCTTTCAGTCCCACATGTCCTGGATCTGTGGCGCATCTTGAGACCAGTTGCAGTGGATGGAAGCAGGCCAGTGCGCTTGCTATGGAAGGTGACCTCCCTTTGGGTTATTTACTTATCTATTTCCTTTCTAAAAAAATCCTTGGTCTCTTACCTCTCTAAATACTGTGATTCCTGAAATTTAACCTCCAAAGTTTCCTTCCCTAGAGGGCTTTATGATACCTCTAATCTCACTATGGTTGCCCAGTTTGGGAAAGCCCCATAGGTCACTTTATAGATGGTTAGAAAGCACAGAGACCTGGGGGCCCCTCCTCTTTGGTCTGAAACATTAACATTTGGGGCAGTTACAAAGTGTAAATGGAATGCAAAAGACTGAGCACTGACTGTGTCCTTAGGTCATTGCCAACATGTCTTGGCCACTGGTCACATGTGTCCCTTGGAGTCGTGACATGATGGGATGCACAGGCAGAAGAGGGAACACATGGTCTTTCCTAGTGAGGAACCCTGGGAGGGAAGAGCAAGGAGAAGACAGGCAAGTAACATAGAAAAGAGGAGGAAAAAAAGGAAGCCATGAGAGAAGAAAGTGAGAAAGGAAAAGTAAAAGAAGGGAGGTAATTAAATGGGAAAGGAAAAGGATGAGTGCAGAAAAAATGGGAAATTGGAAGTAAAAGATGGGAAGTTGAGGGTAAGGGAAAGAAAAAGGTAGAGAACAGTGAGATGTCAGAGCTCTTTAATGTGTCCCCAGAATTCTCAGGAAATATTCATGTTATACTTGAATGCTAAAGTTCAGTCGAGGTAAAATCTCTTTAAAAATGGGGGAATCACCCTGTTCTGCCAAATGACATCCCAATCCTAATTACTGCAGGGCTGAAGCATCCCCTACCTTCATGCCTGTTCCCCAACATTCCCAGGGCTGTGGGATACTCTTGGGTTCCAGAGGCCACAGACAAGAGACAGCATAACATGGGTGTTGGGAAATCTTTGAAAATCAATCCCAGATATTGTGATTTCTTTCCCATTTATCAAGTATAGAAACAATTCTGTCGACATTGAAAGTAAACAATGACACATACCCACATGTTGTCTTAGCTTTGTAGGAGTGGGTTAGGGTCAATAGGCCAGCCTGTGGAGTAGGTGAGATGGGCTTCAGTGCCCTGCTCTGTGTGTCTCATTTGGGAATTATTCTTCCTTTCACCGCAACAGGAGAGTTTTCTAAGAATTTGAGCTGGCTAATAAAGTAAGTACTAAAATATGTACTCCAAGATTAGATAATTGTAATGTGTCTGTGAATATTTTTGAAACCTACTGAACTGTGTACTTTTAAACTGAATTTTGCAGACTGTGTATTATGTCTTAGTAAAACTGGTATATTAAGAAGAAAATAGGTTGTCTTGTGAGATAAAGCACATAGTCACTAGGAAGATTCTAGCTGGTCTTTTAGGCTGTGCAAAGGAAATTCTCAAACTGGCAAGACAAAGGGCAAAAGTAACTTCTAATACCCTGTCTGAGTCATACAGTGAGTCACACATTGAGCTTGAGCCATTCTGCTCCATCTATGTTTTTAATTAATGACAGAAAGTGAAAAAATGAGAAGCCTTATAATTCTGAGAAAACTCAGCACTCTGGCTCCTATGCAAAACATCTGGTTAGTAGCTGCAAGTTCAAGGCTGAAAATAAGAATTTGGCTTGGAGCCCCTGGGATTCCTCTTTAGGCTTCTCACCAAGGCTTAGGAACTGGTAGAGCAGCCTGAATATTTTAGTGCTCTTAGCTGGATGCGTGGCTGGGTCCTGGTCCAGGGAAGTGGGCTGTCTCTCCTTAGCGGGGGAGGTGTGGACATAAAAGAAAGGGCACGAACACTCTCCAGTTTTTGGAGGCTTCCAGGCAAGAGATGACCAACGATCTGATCAGAATTAAGGGTGGCTCAGAGGAAATCCCTTAGCTTTTTAGCTTTACTCTTCTGCGCATCTATGCTAGAGTGAAAGATACAACTAAAAGAAATGGCAGTGGCCTGTTTACATTGGCTTAGGGATTCTCCTAGTTTAGCCTCATGAAATTGAACTTACATTAAGGATGGATACCAAGATACCATTTAGTATATCCTCCTTCTGGCACTTGAGAGGTTAATATCAACAGCATGAGTATGTTATTGGTTCCTGTAGGATAAATATATGGTTGCAGTTTAGCATCTAATAGCTAACATGGCCCACTCTAACTTTCCATCTCTACCACTTATCACAGTCTGAATGCCCTTTTTTTTTTTTTTTTTTTTTTTGCTACTGTGAATAAATTTTATTTCCTTTGTGTTCAGAAGGCAAAAGGAGCCCCAGTGCTGGAGAAAACATTTGGCTACAACATAAAGTACTCTCCCGAAAACAACACTAATGTCACAGAGATAAGGACCACTAACCACACACTTGACCTGCATTTTGGAGGCGAAACCTACCACGTGTCTGTGACTTCTTACAATTCTCTTGGGAACTCTATAGCAGCTACCCTGAGAATTCCAGATGTTCATGAGAAGCGTAAGTGGAACATAAGCTTCTTACATGGATACCCAGTCCCATCCAATTCCACAAGGAGCAGTCCCTGTCCTCTTAAGGATAATTGTTTCTCTTAAGTCAAGCAGACTTTTTGGGTTGTGGTAAGGAAAACAGAATCTGCTGGTACCCAGTGAGCTTTGAAATGAAGTTCCTTTAAAACATAGCTTGCAGTAAATATTGTAACTTTATGTATTCTTAGAGTACAAAATTGTAGATATTTGTTCCAGTCCAGGTGGATGAAAGGTAGGTCAAGCCACATGAAAAGAGCCATATTTGAGATTTTGTCCTCAGGGACCAAGCCTCTCTTGAATCTGTCCTGTAGATGGGATCAACTATGGCCCCAGGTGTGACTTAATGCTCATTTCCTATTTTCTTCCCATTTGCCCTTTCTGTTTAACTACCAATATGTTGCTCATTATACTTTTTTTTGTCGGGGGGACAGCTATGTAGTTCAGGCTGGCCTTCAACTCACTATGTAGCCCAGGCTGGCCTCAAACTCACAACCATCCTCCTGCCTCAGCCTCCTGAGTACTGGCATTACAGGTGTATGTGGTTATGCCTGGCTGTTCATTATATTTTGATAAGTAGTTTTAAACATCCTATTGTTCCCAGGAAAATTCATATTTTATATTCTGTTTTGGAATATAACACCTTTTTTGATTCTTCTTCAAGAATTGCAAGCAATAGATTTTCTTTTCTCAGATTTATTTGTGTATATCAAACGTAGTACTTTCCTTTGTTCCATGCTTTCTCATTTTTTTTTTTTAATCTTTTTTCCTTCAATAGGACGCCTGTCCCATGAGGGCAGGGAATTTTGTCTTTTTTCCCTTTCTTTTCTTTTCTTTTTATTTCTTTCCTTCTCTTCTCTTCTTTTTAAAAATCTAATTTCCAACAGCTAGAATAGCATAGAACAGTTGGCATAGAGCAGATGTTCTGTACTGATTTTTCAAAACCTACCATAGCCAAAGAATGTGCTCTCCAACTTGCCGCCTCTTTATCTGCTTAGCCGCAGATTAGTTCAGGCATTTATATGATCAAGTCTAGACTTCACAGGCTGACCTCCATTTCTTCTCTTCCTCTACAGTTAACCCACTTATACCTCATTTTAGAACTCCTAGATAGTCACATTTTGTATTTTGAGCTAACTTCATATTACTTTAATAGTTAGCACTTAGTAGTATTTCTTGTGATCCTTAGTTCCCAACATCGTAGTTCTTATCTGTCCAATACTCTAGTGATGAAGTTTCTGGCAAATGTATATATTGCTAGAATACATGTCTTTTTTTTAATTGAGTTACTGCTGAGTAGTTTTATGGTGTGGCCCCAGAATGATGGGCATTAAGAATAGGGGGTGACATGGTACTGCCTGCCTGTAAACCAAATCTCAACATTTTAGGAGGCTGAGGTGAGAGGATTACTAATTCAGGCCTGGCCTTGGAAATTTAGTGAGACTTTGGTTCAAAAATTTTTTGACTGGGGATATAGTTCAGTGTGAAGGGTCTGCATTCAATCTTTGGTATGCGGCACCACCACCAAAAAAAGTAGGGGATGAAGGAAATATGTAGTCTAATAACCCACTTTCAAATTGTTGCTGATTTACAGGATATCAAACTGTCAGTAAGTTACCTAACCTCTTTAATTCTAAACTACTTGTAAAATAGAGTTGTTGGGGAGACTAAATGAGATTCTGAATGTAAAATACTAATTATTACTACAGTAGTCCCTTGGTTCATGAATTTAATTCATTCCACGATTCTGGAGAAGATGGCCATGTTAGTGTTCATGCAGGACAGATGGCCCCACAATCATGCTGGTCACCCAATGAAGAGTTGCAAACAAAAACAAAATTTTTCCAAACACCTCTTTTTGCAAACCAAATTGTTCACAAGCAAAAATGTTCATGAAGTGCAATACCATTGTATTGTCATTCTTAATAAAATTTCTGATTAAATTTCTATTAAAGATGGATTATCAAGTCTCAAAATTCTAAAAAAAATTACAATTAAAATTATGCTAGGGGGCTGGGGATTTAGCTCAGCGGCAAAAGCGCCTGCCTGGCAAGCGCAAGGTCGTGAGTTCGGTTCCCGGTACCGGAGAAAAAC